GGCTTTGCTTGATCTCAATTAGATGTTAACTAAGTTTATATTAAATATGTCTTTGTATGTTCGTTCATTTATTTCTGTCTTATTCCAACTACCTGAGAACCGCGGTGGCTCAGTGAGTATTGCGCTGGATCGCTAAAGCGGAAGTAGTCCCGGCTTTGCTTCCGGTGCTGGCCTAAAACGTTCCTCGGGATTTTCCGGCGTGATTTCCCTTTGTTAGTTGTGCAGAACGGAAGGCCCGGTGTACACACTGGCGTGCACGTAAAAGTTTAAATTCCAAATAAGAGTAGACCGTAGCGCATATTCCATCATAGAATACTTCGAGAATGGATCTCTGATTTAAATGGCCGCCATGTCCAACAATTAGTATACTGGTTTGTAATGCGGTCCTATTTCGGGTCACATCTGTTATAGACACAAAGATATAAATGAAATGAAATGGGGTTTTAACGTCCTACTGTTCTACTCTTACTAGGCTAATGAAGATGAGCGTACGCCAATGTGTATGCCAATGTATTTTTGTCCCATCCGAACGACTAGACAGCTGTCCTAATCAGGCCCTCAGTTGGAAAATCTGGATGAACTTTCTCGGCCAATGCAGGGATCGAACACCCGACCTCCAGGCTAGCGAGCCAGCGTCCTACCCACTTAGCCACCGTGGCTTCATACACAGAAAGACAAAATTAACCTTTAACTCATGACGTCAACTGGCAGACTATCGCCATTGAGGAGACGACCACTGTCAAAATTGGTCGCATTATTTCTGTTACGTCTTTTTTGTATTCCTGATTGTTTTCAAATTTGAGTGAAGTCAGTGTCACTACAGGCCAAGGACTGTACAGCGCAGTAGAGGCTTACAGCTGGCCCCCGGATCCATTCACTTGATTCGATATTTGTTTATTTGGTGCAATGTCTATTTTCTGTCTTGTCCGCAGGTTTATCTTGTAGATTTTTGGTTTACGTGTAGTGCGGTCCTCCTGCACTTACTATTAAATTCCATTAAATGAAAGCAAAATAAATACTTCTCAAAATTCTCGGAATATACTTAAGTGTCTTCGACTAAAATCGTCGATTTATAAGTTAAAATGTCAGTCAAGTAGCTTAGTTAATGGTGTGCTAGACTAATCGTAAAATATTAAAATGTCAGTCAAGTAGCTTAGTTAATGGTGTGCTAGACTAATCGTAAAATATTAAAATGTCAGTCAAGTAGCTTAGTTAATGGTGTGCTAGACTAATCGTAAAATATTCCTCTAAGTATCTTTGTTTCATCAATATAGCTTGTGAGTCTTGTTAACTGTTCTTATATTCCATTGGATAGTTCATATATTGATATATTCTTATTTTATTTTATCTATTTGTGTATATATGCTTGATAACGACTGGTGAAATCTTGTTAAAATGTCGCAGTGAAATAAACCATAATATAATATAATATAATATAATATAATATAATATAATATAATATAATATAATATAATATAATATAATATAATATTATATTATTAATATAATATAATAGTATTAATATAATATAATAGTTATAATTTGTTATTGCACACCTAATTGATTGATTAACACTATTGTGTATCGTCGACTAATACTGATCACTAATTAACGATTACTTCTAGTTCTTTAGATATATAATTAATCGTGGCTTCGACTTACTGTAACTACTTAGGATTTGTTATCATCGCTTTGATCAGTGCTTGTTATATATAATGTCTATATTTATGGCTTCTTTTTACTGTATATAAATACTTAGGTGGAAGTGGACACGCTCGCCATCCTTCCTTTTCTACCCAAAAACTTTATCCTCTCCTTTCGATGAGATTTTTAACTTGGGCATTCCCTGCTAAGACAATATGTCTCAAATTAAACTGGACCAAGCCTAATCCATACGGATTCCTCCAGTAAGTTTCTTAGGAAACATCCTTGTCTACGATATCACCTTAGGTGGCAGTGGACGTAAAACTCTAGAAACGAACGAACGGGCGTAAAACTCTAGAAACGAACGAACGGGCGTAAAACTCTAGAAACGAACGAACGAACGGACGTAAAACTCTAGAAACGAACGAACGAACGGAAATAAAACTCTAGAAACGAACGAACGAACATATGATTTTATGTTCTTATTTGCTAGATAAAGACGATAATATCATCGTGGAAACGTTGCATGTTAATAAACCAGTAAATGTTACTCCATAAATAGTGTTTGGTGTGTTACTGTTCAATTAATAAATGTCACTTATAGAAGAATAGTAAGTGGTATTCCATAAAAAAAAAATGTGTAATTTGGCTTTATAACACATCTCGAGTACATCCATGAAATCATATAACAGTTCTGGGTATGTCAAAGGTCACCATTGGTCGACTATGCCCAATTCACATTGAATGCATCTCTCAGTACTGGCACAAAATGGGTATCAAGGTGTTCTTTGACCACCGGTAATGCAGTTTTTGAACAATATTTTATTTTTCACGACCCAATCTGCGCTAAATTACA